AGATATCAATAATACAAAACATGACTCTAATGCAGCCCTCCACCCGTTACAGCATTCCAACTACTCTCTAGCTTGGGTAAACGTATTTAACTAATAATACATACAGGCCAGTGCCCTTAAAAACAAAGTGATGTCGTCTCCGTTGATCTATTAAGTGGTCAGGTTACTTGACAAATAGCCGCTGATTGGACCCTACAACAAGAATGTCTCCCCTTGGGTCTGCACAGAAGGACAAACTAGCAATTAAAAACAGTTTCAAAGGTCTTCAAGAAATCATAAAAATAACTCAAACCTGACGATGAAATGTTTAAGTAGACACTTGCGTATTTTTATTCATTAAAACGCCCGGCAATCGAATCAATGCTGTGAAGCCAAACAGTGGGACTGAGACAGAAGAAGGCAGCTGCTGTATATGTTAGGATCTAGATGAGCTACGTATACAGCCACCTCTCTCGTTGACCCGAATTAATCTAATTTTTTTTATTTATAGAAAAGATGTAGTACAAAACTCAAAACTGTAGAACCTACAAAACGCCGTACCTTATAACCTGTGTTATAAATCATATCACCCTGATACGATCATATCAAGAGGAGGTGGTATGATTCGTATTAGAAGTGACAATAGGTTGAGTTTGAAGGTTTTGTAGCTTCTAGATATTGTACCGTAACCCCGACGGTTATAAATCTACTGTTCCCAATAACTCTGATATCATGTCAACAACCAGTTGATCCCAAACTGGGAGAGGTCCATGTATGGTACTTAATCACTTCCTTACACGCTCCTTCAAACAAAAGCCAACTCATGGATTTGGAGTTTGCACAGAACCGACATACAATGTATACTTTAAAGACAACAATTAATATTGGGGTCATGAGGACTTGAACATGTGACCTGAAAGACAAACCAGCTCCGACACCATGTCATAAACCAACTGGTCCCAATAACTCGAGTTATTGTATATGACATGAGTAATGTGTACTATGCTCATGAGCGGAATGTTGTCACTGAGTTTATTATAAAATTTGTTTGACCTAGCATATAAAATTCCCTTTTGTTATCTTCGGGTTTCAATTGATTAATATACACGCATCCTCCAAGTCAAACCAATATCTTAAATCATAGTACTTCTAGTTAATTCCCGGCCAAAAGACAAACTATTTGTTAGAATAAAACGATGTATTTGTTAGAGAGGCATTGGTAGTTGAAGTACCATCAACTTCGATTACCTATGGCTAGGCTAGGGTTCGTTGAACTTGCACTTCTCAGCATGGCGATTAGTTGGTGGGCAAATCCTTGTTCTTTCTGCTACAAAATGTATATTATACAATTTCGTCATAGTCGGTCCACGCAATTGTGTAGTCCTTACTCTTCAAATTTTTTTTTTTTTTAACTATTTCCCCTTTAACCCTAAAGTAATTATTAGCTTAAGAGAAAGGAAAGAACCAATGCAATGAATCGGCAGCTCGATCAACCTATGTGGTGTGTGATTATGCATCACTTTTTCATTGTTAAATATATGATGGGTCGTAGTTTTTTTCCCGGTAATTGATAGATTGTATATTTCCTCTTAATTTAAATTTAAAAAAATTTACATAAAAATCAGATTAATACTTTTTTGTAAATGACATCCACTATATATATTTTTTGAAACAATAAATTTTAATGTTCAAATACCTGTAACAATTTGAAACCAAATTAATTGTCGATTCATTAGGAAAAATTATTTCTTGATTTATGTGCAATGCAGAGTAAATATATGAAAATTCGAAGGCTATAGATTTGTCTTTGAACTCGATCGAGCTGATTATGTCAAGAATCAGTTGATCCCAATAACTCGAGGTGTTGGGAGAGGTTCAATCGTGGATCGTATACCGTTTACTAACCCCCCCCCCCCCCCCTTCAAACTCAAGCCATTCAGATAGGCTTGGAGTTTGGACAGGCACAGGTCCGGACACCGTGTGCTTAACAGAAACAGATGGGGGCCACCGGGAATCGAACAGAAGATCTCACGGTCACAAAAGGCTCTGATACCATGTCAAGAACCAGTTGATCCCAATAACTCGAGTTGTTGGGAGAAGGTTATGCTAGATCTTATAACATTCTCTAATAGATTATAGCTAGGGCTTTCAACTAACCTAGTAGGAATTAGCTCTCAAAATGAGTGCATGAATAATGGTGGAGTTACCTATAGTCTGAAGTAGGACTGCAAACGAGCCGAGTCGAGTTTTTGCTGAGCTTGAGCTCGGCTCGTTTATAAATTTTTTAGCTCGAGCTCGGCTCGAACTCAAAATTTCATCATCCAGCTCGAGCTCGAGCTCAACTCGATTAAAAATAATTCAGCTCGAGCTCGGCTAGATAAAGCTCGGTAAATGCTCATTAACACAGCTTGTCAAGCTGAGTACAAGCTTGGCTCAAGATAAGCTCGATTTGAAATCATTCTTGCTGAAAAATGTGTACAAATAAGAACATTAGAAATTAAAAATGATAAAAAGAACCTTAAAAACTAAAAATAACATCTAACTTCCATACACATCCTTATTAATAAGATAATTCTCATGTTCAGAAAAGTAATTAATCCTTCCACAAGCTTTAAACAAGCCAGCTCACGAGCTTAGCTCAACAAGCCACCGAGTCAAGCTAGCTCACGAGCTTATCAAGTCGAGCATGGCCTAGCTCAAGCTTGGCTCGTTTACTAACGAGCTAGCTCGCGAGCCGGCTTGTTAAACAACGAATCGAGTGTCGAACGAGTTTTTTCCGATTCGAGCGCCGAGTTGCTCGCGAGCGGCTTGGCTCATTTGCAGCCCTAGTCTGAAGGAGGCTATACAATCCTCTTCTCTATATTCGATTTCAAGCTGTGATATTTGTTCATGCATGAGGAGTAAATTCTTGAAAGTGGCATAATATTGGGCTATTATCACCTCTCCTCAGAAAGACCCAATACCATATAGAAAGATTTTTCATCAATAAAAAAATATAGTCAATTAAATTAGCTTTATAATACACGATCAGCAGTGGCAGAGCCACGTTAAATTTGGAGGAGGCTTTAGCCCACTCTCAACCTTCAAATTTAGGTAAATTCACTTGTAAAATTTGTAACAAAATTTTTAAATTAGACTAGTTGTTAAGATCCTTACCTCATTAATGTTCATGACACAAATCTTACAAGTATATATTTTGTAGCTCTCTCGTTCAAATTTCTAATTACTCCCGCCACTGAACGATCAGTTTCACGCCACTATTGTTTCCTTTACTTTCTCTGGACGTTTTCTATTTCTATCTGCAGTCATCTTTCATACCATCCAGACGGCATCACCCCTCGCTCCATCTGGAAAGCCATCGAATTGATCATCATCACTTACGCGAAGACTAGTATTTATTTAACTCGAATGGTGTGCCAATGAAACACTGAAAACATATTATTATGAATTTAATTAACAGGAAATAAACAACAAAGAGGAGGACTAACTGCAGCGGTGTGCCAGAATTATAGTACTTGTTTTTTCACGCATGCTTCATAGAGATCGCATGAGGTAATTAACTTGATTTGAAAGGGTATCCCAGTAAAACAAGCAACCTTTTTTTCATGTACTAGATGCATGTCCAATTCCTCGAACCGAAGCTTCAAGATTGAGACTTCTTTGCTCCAACTGCCATTTATCTTCATAGACTCGAATCAGTATGATGCACCATCATATTCAGCAACTCTGTTAAAAAGAAAATTATGGTTAGATCAAATTTATTAAGTTCAAGATCAGTCCAAGCAAGGCTGTATTTCTGTAGTCTGTACAACCACCAAAGTGAATACAAAGATAGTGAATGATCCTAACCTACTATCAACAAACAAAAACTAATTAAGAAGGCAAACAACAATTTCTCTTCTGGTACTCTCACTGTTTTTCAAGTTGAACTCTACACTGTATAATTAGATTGGTCTCGGGATCCACCTTGATTCGGGAGTAAAATGAATAAATAAAAATAAAATAGTTAGATGTTGGTGAGATAGAAACCATGATCTCAACAATATTAGCCAATAGTTTTTCAATCAAACTACAAAATATTAAACTTAGTTTATCGTCATTTACAGTGGCGTAGCCAATATATAATGAAGTGGGTCTCGGGTACCACTTTGAATCGGAAATAAAAATGAATAAATATGTATATGATAGGCGTGTGATCCTTGAAATAACTCTACAGCGTGGATGAAACAGAATATGTAATTCTCCGGTGCTTCCGATAACAAGCATGAGAAAAAAAATATCAATAGCTACAATAAACAAGTACAAGGATAACTGATCTCCCTATCCCAATTCCTTTCTGGCATCAAAATACTCTCACAACCCTCCATTTAAGGCAATGTGTGGTGGTGGTATAGGCTTTAATCAGTGCAACAAACCAAGAAAATAACCTTTACCTCATAACTAGCATAAAATAAAAATAAAAAAATATAACAATCTACTGAATCAAATGCTTTCATTAGATCTATCTTCGTACCTAAAACTGTGCCGGTATATATATTAGATAGGCTGACTTTTTTGAAATACTAGGCGTAGGGGAATGGAATATGTGGAGTTCCTTCACCAGATAACTATTCCAACGTTTTCTTGATGTTTGTTAGTTAGGACTTAGGATGATGCTTCATATATAATTTCTAAAAGAAAATCAATCACAAAGAGCCCACAAAATTTAAGCGGAAAAACTGAATTTGTTTTTGCCGTCCACAAATAACTTGTCCCCTCGACGTGAATACCTTGCCTGTTTTTATATCCTTTAACAAATAGCTCCACTCTTTGGTTTTTCGCAGAAGCTTATTTCCACGCAACAAAAAGCACACGTATAAACAAGTCTATCTCGCAACCCTCCGGCCGACAATTCCCATAAAAGAAACAATTGACCTAGTCGATGTACGTATCAAACCACAAACCCTCTAATCCTCTCTCTAGCTCAAAGCAAAACCCCACTTCCCCTCTCTCTCTCTCTCTCTCTCTTTCTATTGTTCCACATGTCTTCCGGCTCCTTCTTCCTCATCAACATCCCCGGCCTGCAGGAAATGAACCTAGGTCAACATTCAGGCACGGACAACCCCACCCACATAGTATGGACCGTCGACGACCACGACGGCGGCGCGACAAAGTCGTACACGTGCGCCTTCTGCAAGAGAGGGTTCTCCAACGCTCAGGCGCTAGGCGGGCACATGAACATCCACAGAAAAGACAGGGCCAAGCTCAAAGAAGCCGCCGAAGATCTCTACCGCAACCAAACCCTCCTCTCTCTAGACATCTCCTCCAGAGACACGTCGTCATCGTCCACGTCGCCTCCTCCGTCCGAGGATGCGTTAGGTATTATTAATACTACCCAGCCGCCGCCGCCGCCGCCGCAGCCGGTGATGGAGACGGAAAGGGAGCAGGTGTTGGACCTTGAGCTGCGGTTGGGACCGGAGCCGCCGCCACCGACGACGTCTGAAACGTTACCATCGACATCATCGCCGCCGGGGACGAGCACCAGAGGGTTATTCCTATGATGATGATGATGATGATGATGATGATGATGGATTTTGATCTTCCTTATGGTGATCAAGGTAAGAAAAACTAAACTTTTGTTTACTTGGTGGTGACCCTTTTTTCTCTCTTTGAGGATGTATACATATAACAAGAAAGATGTGGAAGTTCGTATTTTGCTACTTCTCTCTTTCCAACCACGCTCGGCCTTTCGGCGAGAGATCATTCGGATGAAATCACACGATTGTCGAATCTTCTTATTTTCTGTAGCCAACTATGAATCATGAATGATCAAAACTAATTCATCATGCATAATTATTGTGATCGTTATATATTGGGCTCTCCTTTCATGTTCTTTTTGTAAATAATAAGTAATAACGAGTCGGATCTTATTTCAGAGAAAGGTAACTGATCTGAGGTTAACGATATTTATAGGTCGATCGGTTTCAACCACATCTGTGTTTTCCGCACCTTACTTGATAAGCTTGTGTCTGTGCCCTAGTTTTCTTTTCTTTTCCTCCTCTTTCTTTTCCCCGTCCATTTTCGATTCCATAAAAGGAACTATAACTCCAATCCTATCTAAGTATTGCTTGGGATCCAACGACCAAGAAACTCAGACGCCTTGATTGGGGCTCCATCGGTCCGATGTTTGGGGAAGGGCCTATATGTTAAAGGGCGGGCGACTCGCTTCAACTAAACTCTGATAATCAATACTAGTTTTCTAATAAGAATGAAGAACATGATGAAGAGTAAATGTAATGAGAAATAGTGTAAAGAGAAAAGTGATAATAAGCCTTCCAAGTGAGGAAAGAAGAAAAGCCCATTACTTGGGAATGTCTTGTTAATAATATGCAGAAACGAAGAAGACAATGATTTATGTGTGATTTTCACTATATTGCTTTTGGAGAGCTGTGTTCAGTTACAAGTGTTAATAATGGTATATGATCCACGATTGAACCTCTCCCAACAATTCGAGTTATTGAGATCAACTGGTTCTTGCCTTATGTGACCGAAAAGTCTTGTGTTCGAATCCCAGTGACCCCGTTTGTGAAGCACATGGTATCGTGCATTCAGACCTGTGCAAATGAAAGCCCTTATGAGGTGACTGGCTTTCGTTTGAGGGGGTGTGTTAGTGAATGGTATATGATCCACGATTGAACCTCTACCAACAGCTCGAGTTATTCGGACCAACTGGTTCTTGACATGGTATCAGAGCCTTCTGTGATCGAGAGATCTTGTGTTCGAATCCTGGTAACCCCCATTTGTTAAGCACATGGTATTCGGACCTATGTAAATTTCAAGCCCTTGTGAGTGGCTTTCTTTTGAGGTGGCGTGTTAGTGTATGGTATATGATCCACGATTGAACCTCTCCCAACAACTCGAGTTATTGGGATCAACTGGTTCTTGACATGGTATCAGAGCTGGTTTGACAAGTGGTCGTGTGTTCGAATCTCCACGACCCCCAATATTAACAGTTGGTCAAAGCACAAGGTATAGTGGCTTGTGCAAACTTTAAGCCTGTGAGTTGGCTTTCATTTGAGGGGGTGTGTTAGAGAGTGGTATAAGATTCAGCATAACCTTCTCTCAAGAGCTCGAGTTATTGGGATCAACTGGTTCTTGACATGGTATCAGAGCCTTCTGTGATCGAGAGGTCTTGTGTTCGAATCCTGGTAACCCCCATTTGTTAAGCATATGGTATTCAGACATGTGTACATTTCAAGCCCTTGTGAGTGGCTTTCATTTGCTTGAAGTTTGCACGAGTCTGAAGACAAGAATACCATGCGCTTAATAAATGGGGGTCGTGGGGATTCGAACACAAGACCTCTCTGTCACATAAGGCTTTGATACCATGTCAAGAACCAGTTGATCCCAATAACTCGAGTTGTTGGGAGAGGTTCAATCGTGGATCATATACAAAAAAGATGACAACCAATTCTTCTACCGTTTACAAGCAACTAGGTATAAGTGGCCCAATCACAAAATATTATACAAAGAACTTAATTAGTACAAATCAGTGCAATATCCCCCTCAAATCTGAAGCATGAAGGTCACCAATGCCAAACTTAAACAAAAAATGGTGAAACTAATCTGTACCCAGCGCTTTGGTGAATATATCGGCGAGCAGCTGAATGGTACCAACCTTCTGCCGAAGAATAAGGTTGCTTGGTACGCTCGGGAAAGACAGGATTAGCAGCAATGTATAAGGCTGCTTGACTTTCGTAATAGAGATGAGTGGGACCACGTTGAGGAACAAGTAGCTCACGGAGTAAGAACCGAAGCCACAAGACTTCAATGGTAGCACTACCCAGGATAACTAAAAAGAACACCAGCACGCCCTCGAGTTGTGGACTTGTCCAAGCCTTGATGCGTGTTTTTGGTGTAAACAAAACCGCCAAAACGACGCAGGTGGTCATAAGTAGAAGCCCGGTCCAAGGGGATTTCTAAAGAAGTCCTCTGGGAAATTGGAATGGAAGGCAAACGATTAATAAGATAAGCCTCTATGAGCTTAGACTTACCCCAAAAACAAATAGGAAGATCGAAGACCAGCATGGAACATGAGAGCGCAAGTTGTGTCCAACAAATGGCGATGTTTGCATTCCACCACGCCATTCTGTTGGAAAGTATCAGTGCACGTGGTTTGGAGAATGATCTCATGCTCTTCGTAATTGCTACGAAGTGAAGTAATCTGAAACTCAATCATGTTATCTGCCTGAATACGACATACCTGCTTCCCATACTGAGACTGGGCCAATGCACAAAAAATATGAATATACCGCTCGGTATCGGAGTCGTCAACAGTCATGAGAATGGGTCAACGAGAACAAAACAACTACTAGTCTTGATAGAACTCAAAGGAAAAGGGTTGCATGCTTGCTTAAAACGAGAACAAGGATTACAATGAAAAGTACTCCGAGAATCCACTTTACAACCCACAAGCTCCTTTAATAAAATCAGCTTGTCTAAATACGGGTGACCAAGTTGAAAATGCCATAAATCCTGAGATAACAGCTGACGAACAGCCTGGCAAGCTTGAGAAGAAACAAGAGATGAACCATACTTCTCATCAAGAGGCCACGCAGATAATAAAGACCATCGCAAAGTCTACCAATGCCAATCAATATCCTGGAATGTAAGTCTTAAATCACACACACACACACACACACACATCATGTAAGAAAATTACTGTTATGTCATGATCCTGAGTAAAGCGACTAACTAATAATAGCTTGCATTTTAACTCAGGGACATGCTATACTCTACAAAGGGTAGAAAGCCCGACAAAACCTATGCTCTTAACTGAAATACCTGTTCCATCCAAAATTCAAACATGTGAGTGAGCCAGATTATCATCCTTGTCCTTAGTCGAGGCCGTAGCATCAGGAGCGCGTGAGGTCCCATCAAGGAACAGAAGCATCCTACGACTCTGAACAAACACACGAAAATTCATCTTCCACAAGGAAAAAATCTTGTCATTGAAGCGGACAACCATAGATTCTAATTTTGAGGCCTCCATAATGCAAGAAGGAGCACGAAAGCTGAAGAGCAAACAGAAGTCTGAATAAGGAAGAACCAAAGCAGGAGCAACAAACCTCAAGAGATGCGGCAAGGTCCTCCAAAGCATAAGAGAAGCAAAACCCAATAATCTGAAGTGGAAACAAAGGATGCGGCGAATTCCCAAAAGCTGAAGAGGAGCGAAACCAATAAAGTGAAGGGAATAAGAATTTGAAACCCCAATAAGAACCTGGAAGAAAACCTGAAACCACCGAAGAGCCGCAGAGAATAACAAAAGGGCAGAAATCGGAAATCACATATGAGGCCCTGATACCATGTCAAACGCAATAATCTGAATGCAGAAAATAGAATGACACCGAGATTTAGGTGGTTTCCTCAATGAGAATCGTTGAGATTACTCCACAGCACAAAGGCATATGCTCTCTGATATTACGTTAGGTTTACAGAGATTTGACTATTCTACATATATACAACCAAGAGGAAGAGAGAAGATATTAACATGGCCAATTACAATTAAGCACCCAGACTTCTTGTATCTTCTACACTGTATACTGATAGCCCATAAGTCACCACGATACCCGTCAATCATCAACCAGGTCGACAACCATGCAAATCCCAAAAAAATGGCATGATGCTCCGACGTCAAATAAATGTTGTAGTTGAGACTTGCAACTTCAAATCAATTCATGCCAATGGATCAAACTGACAACCGCGACTCTGATAACACTTGTCAAAGTAGAAGTGTGCAATTGATAATCCAAATCAACACAAACGATCACAAACTTAACGTGGTTTACTAACAGTATGTGTACTAGCTAATCCACGGATAGGGGAGAACAAATTTCATTGATTTGAGTAGAGTACAAGTTATAAATCAAATTCCGGAAAAGACAAATCAAACAAAATAACCTGATTGACTTAACAACATATTAGAGAGATGAAAAGTATTGATAGAAAGTAACCGAAAAAGCAAGTATCTATTCATACCCATTTATCTTTATTAAACTTCAGTAAAATACTGGTTTATGCCCTCCACTTTAATATTTAGCTCTTAAATTTCAAGGGTCAATTTAGCTTCTCATTACTCTATTTAATTTAACTTGACTAAAATATCAATTTATTCCTTCCACTTCAATATTTTAATATTTTTTCTTCTAAACTTCAAATGTGCCCATTTTAACTCTCACTACATAAAAAAAATTATTATCTAAGAATACTTTTAAAATTGATAATCGTTACTTCAGTTCTTAAACATTTAATGAGTTAAAAAAACTATATAACACCCAAATTTATATTTTTATAAGAAAATGTCAAATTCAATGAGTAAAACATTAGCCACATGTTATTTTCTGAACAGAGTCTAGCCTTCACATGTGAATGGACGGCCCTAGTTGCAAATTTGGTCATTTTAGTATGTTCTATCATCTAATAATTTTTTATTTAATATAGTGGACATAAGCTCTAATTAGTTTATCCATTGTTGTCGGGGATAAAAGAAATTTTATCCATCCAAAATATATATATAGCGATTTCGTTTTGCATGTAAACGTTAATTACAAATTTTCCAAGTTATGTATAAAACTAAACCCATTTTCGGTTAATTTGCACTATTTGTTATCCGCTTTGCTTTTATTACAATAAGAAATGATGACAAAAAAAGTAATTTATTATACTAAAGAATAACATAAAAACTAACTAATACCAAAATGATTTTCGTTACTTTCTCAGTTGTCTTTCATTTTTTTTCTTCGTCTTTGCCTTTTTTAATTCAATCCTAACTAGTATATTATATTTATATTTATTGTTATTGTTTATGCCAACACCCTCTCTCCCCTCTTTATGCGCTTCCTCTTAGCAACTCTCCAAGCATAAGGTGCCCTCCTCCTGCACACAAGGGCACAACAGATCTAGGTGGTCCCGTTAACCCCTCGACGATCAAGTTAGTACCACGATTTAGAAGAGAAGGATGTTTAGTGAGAGATCCCAAACCGAGTAAATGAGATTTACCTACTTTCTAGCCATTATGTCTCATTGTCCTCATGCGCCCCTTGTCAGAACTTTGGCCCTACGCTACGCGTCCAGGCTGGCAAATGGCCCATTGGTGGAGCTTTATCCTTAATGGGCTAACACTTTGGATCTTACCCTGTGTCCTCTCACTTGGCCTTCATCATACCTTCAATAGTTATTTATAAATATAAATGGTTATTTAAAAAATCACCAACGGTCTATAGCAGATAACAATTGAACCATAAACCACTCACTTTTTTAGTTCAACGTTAGGTTAATGCAAAAAAGAGAAAAAAATAACCACTTACTAGTAGGTTGTTTTAAATTGAGTTCCACTTTTTACTTTTTTTTTTAATTCTCTCTAGATTTTCTTCTCGCTCGGACTAGAACTTTCCATGAAATTCAAATCTATGTATACATGTCAAATAAAGGATTATCGCTAAACAATTACCGTCACAAATGCACCACTGTAAAAAGAATCAAATCTCAACGAAAAATCACGAAAACGCACTTTCACCATTTCGCCACCAAGTGCGATCCCAACCTAGTTAGAAGTGAACTGAGAGGTGAAAACAATGTTCATCCTTGGCATTTAAAATTTTAAACCAGGCTTTAAAAGTTCATTAAAAAATAGACTTTAATATATATAAAGCTCAAACATGTTTACTGTTGCCTAATACTTCCATTTGATTGGACCATGTGTTCCTTAATAAATCAATTTGAATGGACCATGTTTGTGGGCTTTTATTATTGATCCGCTTCATTTTATGTCTGTGACCAATTAATTGGTAAAGCTCAAACATGTTTATTGTTGCCTAATACTTCCATTTGATTGGACCATGTGTTCCTTAATGAATTCATTTGATTGGACCATGTTTGTGGGCTTTTATCATTGATCCGCTTCATTTTATGTTTGTGACCAATTAATTGGGAAAATTAAAAGGGAAGACAGTTTTGAATATTATGGGAGAAGATAAGACTTTGGGGAAAAGAAGGTGAAAGGGTGGAGCAAGATTATCAAGCCGGTTAGCAAGTGGTATGGTTTGAGTGGGATACAACTGGTTTATATCAGTTTAGCATAATATATAAAAATATGAAAAATTATTAATATTAAGTGTATTTAATAATCATATATAAAAAAATATGTGAATACAATCTACATTCATATATGGGTTTAACAAAATATATTGAAATATGACAAATCAATAATCATATATAAAAATAGAACTAAATACATTAATCTACATTCGTATATAAATAAAATACACTATTCCAAATAAAATAACAAATACTCATATTTAAATACAATATTTAACGTGAACATCCGAGTGTTTATACTAGAACCCAACAAATAGCATCAACATTTACTTTTCAAATTCATGAAATAAATAAAAAATTCATTTTTTGATAATTAAATTTTCGAAAATGACATTATTTTGTTTAGAGGTCGGAAATCGATCATACCGATAATATTCCAACCATTTTCCTAACCGGCATCAATTATACTCAATTTTATCGTCTGACATTCCATCTACATGACACCGATACTTTTGGGGTGAAAAGAAAATACCCCCACATATGTAGAGTTTAAGGATTGAACCCATGACCTCTAGATTGATTAAAAGTATTTTACCACTACACTATACGCTGATTCTTGCTTAAAAGAGGACACGAGTATTTTTGAATGAATTGTTTAGATATTAGTTTTAATTATATTAATTAATTAATTATATTCTGAAAAGAGGACACGGATATTTTTGAATCATGGTTCCGCCACTGATGACAACCATGGGTAGAGACGAGTAAGCCATCATCCACAACATACTCAAGGGAACATTTGACATAGATAATATAAATTAAAATGGAACAACTAATATCAATACAAGTATGCCATCATCCGCGGCATAGCACGGTCTAGTAAAAGTTAAACCTGAATTCAAGAAGTTGAGAAAGAAAAAGAGCGGTGATAAATAAATAAACTTTTGTCTACCAAAGATGAAAACAAGAGGGATCCAGCTTGACATAAATCCAGGTGTCGCGCGCCCGGACCGGAGATCAAAACGGACGACTAGCCGGCCGCGTTCGGCCCTGGGGTGCTAAAACAGAACTAATATTTCCAAACGAAAAGCATCCAAACCGACCCGTTTCGATAAACCCAAACCACAAGACTATAGAATACCAAATCTCTGTAGACAAAGCCCACTTCACATCAACTCCCCAATTGGGCTCTCCCGTCTTCAATCCCAACCCAATCCAATCCGGCCAGGGATTATCTAAAATCCCCTGCTTCGTCCTCACTCGCAAACTTACCCCCCAAACTCTCAACTCAGTATAAAACTAAAACCCACCCAAAAAAAAAAAAACTAAAACGTCCATCACAACTCAGTAACGCATCATCCCACCCACCGGACAATCAAATACCGCCGGCCGGCCGAAGGTGGACGAGAATTACCCGATGAAGGACACGTTGCGAGATCCCCTCAAAGGCTGGAGAACTTCCTTCCCCGCCGCCCTCCGATCCTCCATCTTAAAACTCAAGCTCCCTCTCGCCTTCTGCGCCGTCGTCTCAATTTCCCTCCTCCTCTACTCCGCCTTCCCGACCCGACCCGCCCTCAATCTCCACAACAAACCCAACCCGGTCTCCCGCCTCCACGTCGCCACCAATCCGGCGCCGCCGCCGACGAACCTTTCCCACATCGTCTTCGGCATCGCCGGCTCGTCCAGCTCCTGGAACCTCCGCCGCCACTACTCCGCCCTCTGGTGGCGCCCCAACGTCACCCGGGGACACGCCTGGCTCGACGCCGAGCCTCCTCTGAACGAATCCTCCCCGTCGGCGTCTTCTCCGCCGCACAGAGTCTCGGCGGACACCTCGAGATTCAAGTACACCAGCACGTACGGGTCCCGGTCGGCGGTGCGGATCGCGAGGATCATCAAGGAGAGCTTCGAATTATTGGAGACGGAGGAGAAGAAGCAGAACGTCAGGTGGTTCGTGATGGGCGACGACGACACCGTTTTCTTCCTCGAGAATCTTGTCACCGTGCTCGCGAAATACGACCACGAACAGATGTACTACGTCGGCTCGAATTCCGAGAGCGTGGAGCAGGACGTCATCCACTCGTACGACATGGCCTACGGCGGCGGCGGGTTCGCCGTCAGCTACCCTCTCGCCAGAGAACTCGTCAGGGTCCTCGACGGCTGCATCGATCGATACGCGTCGTTTTACGGGTCCGATCAGAAGGTCCAGGGATGCATGACCGAGATCGGCATCCCCTTGACCAAAGAGCTCGGCTTCCACCAGGTAAAAAAAATGTGAACATAAAAAAAACTACTACCGTTATACGGGTTCATTATTATCATCCTTTTAACGCCAATGTATCAATAACTTTTTTTTTTACTCGAAGTATAAAATTACCATATAAGATAAATAAGTGCAAAAATAAGGTTTGATTAAATGTGCCAAAATTGTTGCAGATGGACATAAGGGGGAACCCGTACGGGCTCCTGGCGGCGCACCCGGTGGCGCCGCTGGTGTCGCTGCACCACCTGGACTACCTCCGCCCGATTTTTCCGAACACGACACGGATACAGGCTGTCCAGAAGCTGATGGAGTCGTACGCGCGGGACCCGAGCCGGGCCCTGCAGCGGAGCTTCTGCCACGACCTGCGGCGGAACTGGACGGTGTCGGTGTCGTGGGGTTACACGGTGCAGCTGTACCCGTCCCTGGTGACGGCGAAGCGTCTGGACGCGACGATCCAGACGTTCAAGACGTGGAGGACGTGGAAGGAGTCTCCGTTCACGTTCAACACCCGGCCCGCCGCCGCCGGTTCAAACGCGCGTGATGAGGTGCCGGTTCTGTATTTTCTCGATAGTGTTGGTGAGAATGTTGGTGGTGGGGAGGGTAGGGAGAGCCTGACCACGTATAAGCGACACGTGGCGGGGCTCGAGGAGGGGAAAGTCCGCAGCACAGGTGAACAACAAGGTGATCGGGTGCTTGCGGGCGTCCGAGCCGTCCACGTGGCGGCTTCGACGATGGATCCAAAGACTTGGACTATGGTGAGCCTATTAATTAATAAATAAATAATTACTGTGTACGTAGATGCCTTCTTTTTGTAGCTGTGGAGTTAGGAAAGTGGGCCCGACTAAGGGGGAATTGTGCGTTATTTGCCGCGGAATTTTACTGCGAGGGACTATAACACGTGGATTGATGTGCAGGCGCCACGAAGGCAGTGTTGCGAAGTGATCGACGGCGGCGATGGAGCGGACAGCGGCGTTGTACGAGTCAAGGTGAGAGGGTGCAATCCGTTTGAAAGTGCGACCTTACCGTAGAAAATGGACCGGGTGGACGTCAACGTTGATCGACCGGTGGAGTGGGAGACGAGAAACAGGAAACATTTGATTTGAGTGCGTGTTGATTAGACAGCACAATTTTTCCAATAGTGCAACAGAGAGAGAGAGAGAGACTCTACTGCCGTTTTGGCATCTTTTTAGACTGCGTTTGCTATAATTGTTGCATGTAAATACATCGCCATTGATGATATTGATATACGATGAAGATTCATTGACGTACAACTACTAACCCTATACACAACTCAGCCACTTATTAAAGAAGAAACCTAAATAAACTACTAAGCTAATAGCCCACATACTAATGGTGGCTCACGTAAACCCAAGCTAACCCACTAACATACTAGACTCATAAAAATTAAACTAAACACCCAGGCCTACTAACTCCAAAAACCCAACTCGACCTCATCTACCAGACATAGAATGATCTCATCAGATCAGGTGTTGGAGGTAAGAATGACAAGTCTGGCATGAACCCGATTTACCTGATCTGCTTGACTTATTTTGACGAGTGTCCAGCCCGCCCTATAAACGGTGCAGACATGGATACTTTCCTCGTCTAGTCTGCCCTGACCCGTCTCATTCTCGATTCGTCTTTCTTTAAATTACATGTAATTTTATTCAAATACCTTATAATTGTCCTTTTATTACTTCATATTTTAGCTATAACAAAGTTGTAAATATGTGAGAATCTCAAATTTTTAAATAATATAACTACATTTAACATATTTTACTTTGTTTATTGTGTTTATAATGAAAAAATTGAATATTTCCTAACATTTTCTTTGAATCTACATACGCATTGGGTTGACCTGCCTGGGCCATGCCCTGTGATGAATCACCTAACTTGGACCCGACCTGCCATGTACGGATATGATTATTGAGATATCTGCACCGAACCATATCCGAACCATATTGTCATTCCTTTTTTCTTCTTAATTTTTATTTTCGGTTAACACGCTTACCAAAATAGAAAGGAAAAAGAAAAGGAAATTAAGATGACGGATCGTGTTCCAAAAATTTGTTGTTCACACACCTTCCACAATATAGGGAGAGCAGATCCGGTGAGTAACCCTGTTACGGACCAACTCTTGGCCGTGCGACACTTAGCTCTCAAGCCTCGTTAGAGCGCTAAGTCAGCCTTGCTCGTATTCACTCAAACTCACAAGTTGGGAAATTCTCTAAAGATGGGAATCTCTCTTATTTCTGGATGAATGACAAATGAGGGAGTGGGCTGCTTATATATGCATCCTCTCCACTAAGTACAATGTATGAGGTCGTCATAAATGAACGAACCTAAAAGCCTCCATACATGAATGAAAATAATATGGTGAATGCATAAGCACTCATACATGAATCAAAATAAATGAGGGGGATGTATGTACATTGGAGCATGAATCTAGAGATGCATGCATGTACCTACACCCTTCTAGAATCTTCCTTGTGACATTCTCCCCCACTCAATCTCGCGACACCATCGTCGCGGATTCCGCATGAATGCCTCGATCAAGTCTTTGTGACGCCATAGCGAAAGCTCCTTCTCCCAAGTGATGTCGCTTTCTGGCCACCCCTCCACTTGATAAGATATTCCTCGTAGCTTGGGTGAACACCACGCCTAGGCACAACACGATGAGCCATGATCTCCTCCACTTCGTGCTCATGTGTTGTGGTGACGAGAGTTGGTGCCCTCGTCGACTCCTTCCTCGCTCCATCTTCCTTGTCTTCATGATAAGGCTTCAATTGACTCACATGGAAGACGAGGCGAATCTCCAAGTGTGATGGCAACTCCACTTTTCAGATTATTTTTCCATTTATTATTTTTTAAAATATTTTAAAATATTTATAAAACATATTATGAAGAAAACTTGAACGAAAGTTATTTTAATTTATTAATAATTTTCTATTATGGATATAAAATGTAATAGGCATTCTCGTTGCTTTAATTCATGCAAAATTTAGGAACAATGTTTTCATAATTCAGTTGAAGGTCAACCGATAAAGAAAGAATATTTTATAACATGAGTAGTAATATTTTTGTGGTTGATAGAATCAAATAGAATTTGTCCAATTGGTTAACACTCTAATGTAGACATTTGCAAAACTCATTTGCTCAAATGTAGGCATGTGTGAAATATAGACATTTTGGAATGTAAACATTACAAATGTATTGTTTGTTTAAAAAATTTTAGGTGAGTCATTTGTACAAAGTTACCATTTTTGCCCTTACATTAAATATATTCCACTACTTTGTTTCCTATTCTAATAAAACTAACCACATAAACAAAATTATTCTGAAATCAACAAAACATATTATTTGGGTGTTTGTCTTGTATAATAGTACATTCTAATTTTAAATAGTGTTATATATTAACTTTCTTTATAAAAGGTAACGCCTCCATAACTATCAAATTTTAAACTAATTACAAATGATGATGTTTGTGACAAAAAAAATGCGCCGCTACGTAGATGATCCTCTTCGTCGCATGTTTAATTTGGAAGAAAGAAAAAAATAATTCCAACAGAAGACGAAGCAATGACATAGAAAACTAATAAGAGAAAGAGAAGGATAGAAGTGAGTTTACATAAAATAGGTGAGGGCATAATTGGAACATTTGGACTAAACAATGAGTCATTTGAGACTTTCGTATGGACGAAATGACTCATGCATTTTTTTCTTTAGCAAACAAGTCATTTGACATCAAATGACTCAAGCAAACGACCCCTAAATGAAATTTGAGACTCACAAGTCATAGGTATGAGTCTTGGTGATCATGATTATAGATCTCTTTATTATTTCTAGCTGGCAAAATGTTGTTAACAAACCGCCGTAATATAAGTTATAGATAGATAGATAAATGAATCGATAGCAACTTGACAAATGATTCGATTTAGGTGCCAAAATGGCCAATTAAGAGAATTCAAGGGTCAAAGTAAGCATCCTGCCTAAAAAAGCAAGAGAAATCTCGCAGTATAAATCTGGAGCCCGCTATTCCAATTTCGAAAAGAAAAGGAAAAAAAATCCCTAATCGACCAGCTTCTAGCCTGCTATAGAAAGATGCGGCCATGTGTGTCGAGAAGTTTCCCTTGGCGTCTCGTCTTCGATTGGTCTCGTCTTCGTATATGGAATTTCCAGTAGAAGAAGGTAAAATATAATTGGAAGTCCTTTTTGTTTTGATTTTAATATGTATATATATATAAGTGACGATTCCTGTAAACATGTAGTTCGAGAGGAATTATATTGCAGATATTTTTTTATGTTTTATTCTGAGTTTTGAGATTGTATCTTGCTTCGGTTTAGAGTTGAAGATCAGGCTTGACAAGTACTTGGAAGGCAGAGAGAACTCATCTGCACTGGCCGCTGATTGCGGTAAAATATATTATCCCATGTCTTTTTTTTATTTTTATTTTTATCTGCTAGTGACGTTGTAAGCATATCAGTTGGGAGAGGAATTAAGTTGCAGTTTCATTTTTTTAGTTTTTTCTTCTTATGAGTTTGGGACCTCCTACAGTAACTTGTATTTTTTGTAAGTTAGGTAACTTAATTTTTTTTGCACAAATCTAGGCCATCGAAATTTTAAACATGAAATTCTAACCATTGATGGGAAGTAAAATAAAAACAGGCTGCGTATGGGCAACCGGCTGTATCGGTTGTACCTCTCGCCGAAAAATTCGCCGGAATTGTAATTCTAATAGGAAGAGTCACCGGTTTGGAAGGGGTTTTCCGATGCCCAATTAGGGTATAGGCAGCCAAATTATTTTCATTTTAAAATTAGGTTTTCCAATCCTGAATGCAAATCGCAATCTGACTCGTCGCATCTCTCTGTTCCGTTTGCCGATCTCTGTGTGCTGCTTGCCAGTGGCGGCCGGGAAGAAGGAGAGTCGCTTGTGGGGTTCGGCTAGCTTTGATTGCAGAAAGAACGGAGAAGAAGGAGAGCGTCGCTCACAAGCCGTCGGTTTTCGAGTTTATCGTCGTTCAACTGTCGTTTCTGGGTTTCGTCCATCCGGTCGACCAAGAACAAATAGAAAAAGAAGAGGTATCGGCAACCCTCAAGGTATCTGTCTATTAATTAATAGTTTGAATCATTTTTACGATTTCGTTGGCTAATTACTGGTGGAATTGGAAGAAAGAGGCTGCCGGTACAGGGCAATCACTGGCGGCAGGGCAGGGGCGAGTCCTGTGGAGGTACGGGCGTCTTCAATCTCCCCGGTACAGAACAGTCTTCAATCTTGCCGAGCACCTTCAATCTCGCCGGTACAGAGCAGTCTTCAATCTCGCCGGGCGGCTTCAATCTCGCCGGTACAGAGCAGTATTCAAGCTCGCCGGCCGTCTTCAATCTCGGCGGTACAGGCCAGTCTTCAATCTCGCCGGGCGTAGCTTGCCTGCAATCTCGTCGGAAACCTAGAATTTGTTCGTGGAGTACGGGGAAGACGAAGAAGAAAGATGGGAAGGGAAAAGGAGAGAGAAGCCCGACCCTCGGGCCTCAAGTCCTCAACTTTCTTTTTCCATTTTTCAATTTTTTTATACAAATAATTTAATTCTTTTTTATTTTGATTTTGGCTGAAGGATTATGAATGATGAGAGAGGAACAATCAATTCAATGCATTCCAATTAAAATTTTCATTAAAAATTCTATAAAAAAATTCACTAAAAAACTTGAACGTTATGACCACCTAAATTTAGTTGTGACAAGATGGGTCAACCAAACTTATGAACTCATAATACAAAATTTATTTGGTCATACATCGTTCGATCAGGGGCCACATTACGCCCAGGTCAGCAAAAACTCGTAACTTCCAGTCGACGACAATAAATTTTATTTCTGGACATAGCAACAAAGTTAAATACAAACAAGCATGGGTATCATACTACCATTTCATGGGGAGCGGTTACGGTGATTACTATTTTGTAGTAATCACCGTGGTTACTAAGGGTAAATTGGGTATGAAAAAATAAATTATATTAATTAATTAATTTTAATAAATTACATTTTAGATAGTTACAAAAATCTATTAATTACAATTCAATCTATTTCTCTCACTTCCGTAATCTCCAGCCAGATCTCATTTCCATATTTTTCTCAATCTTTCTGCAAAAGAAAAAACACGAAATCACTACCAATCCATTAGACAATCACTACCATTTTAAAAAACATCAATACCATTGCAGAAAAAGAATCTATACCATTATACGAAAACTACCAATATAAACAATCTTTACCATTACAAAAGTCAAATAAATACTAAAACAACCAATATCACTACTACTGTGAAATCAAAACAATACCATTGCATAAATAAATCAATACCAATAAACTAAAACTACCAATACAAACACTTTATACCATTACAAGAGTCAACCAATACCACTAAAAAGCAATACACTTACATGATAATCAATACCAATGCGGAAAAAAGAATACCAATGCGAAACAACACTACCATTACGAAAAAATTACTACCAATGCGGAAAAAACAATACCAATGCGGAAAAAAACACTACCACTACGAAAAAATCACTACCAATGCGAGAAAAAAACACTACCATTGCGGAAAAATCACTACCAATGCGAAAAAAATCAGATCTAGGGTTTTTATTCATCTTACCTTTTCCAGCCACAGCCGTCTCCCAGAGAGAGAGAGGGAGAGGGAGAGAGAGAGAGAGAGGGCAGCGGTGAGCGAGAACGACACCATCGCCGGTCCGCCGATTAAAGACTGGAGACGACGACACGCAATATGGGTGCACGGAAGAAGCTTCTCCCCACCGGTGAGAGGTTCTTGAGAGCGGCGCTGATGGAAAAAACGAAAAGGAAAGGGGAAAAGAGAATACGGAAAGGCCACTAATTTAGCCCCACAATAATGGCGTGAGTGAGAGAATGGATCGTCTGGATCCCACCCGAAAATAACCTTCATCAATATGGACCCTCGGATTGTATTATCTAGATCTTAATGATCAATAGCCAAGTAGCCACAGTGATTACTTAAAAGTTAGTAATCAGGCTAACGCATTTCCCATTTCATGGAAAACTTTCACTAAAGAACATGAACTCTATGATGACCAGCTAAATTTATTTGTGATAGGGTGGTGTTTATGCCTGGAAAGTACCGGGCGGTTTGTGAAGCTCACTGACTCCGTGCGGTCTTGGGAGGATGAGAGGCGACCTTCGAAGTCCTGCAACAAAGGTCCTCAGGGGAGCCCTGGGACCTCCTCCGATGCCTAAGTTAGTGAGAGAAGTGGGTAGAGTGAAATAGAGAGAGAATGGGGTAGATAGGAGTTACCATAAATGTGATCCGTTGTTGGGTATTTATACTAGTTGGGTCTAGGAGTGAGGACAAGCTACGTTATGTCGGGCGGTCTGACGCTGTGTCGGGCGGTCTTCGACCGCCTCTGACTTCTCATAAATGCCTGGTCAGATCCGTACTCTGCTCAGTATCCGTACCTTGTTGTCAGAGTGTTGACTATATCCTCTGTCGGGCGTCCTGCTTTGTTTCCGTTGTATGTTAGGCGGTCTTATTAGGTGCGACCTAGAGACCGCCTCCTATTTCTCTGGATTTGGGCTTGTTTGCTTTACTGGGCCTTTTTAGTGGTCATGGGCTCAGAGGCCCAAGTGCTTTAATGATTGTCCCAACAGGTGGGTTGACTAAATTGATGAATTTGTATCTCAAGATCGATTAGGCCATACAATCTTGGATCAGAGGCCACATTGAGCCTCGAGCCCCCAAACCGGGTGCATCATCCTTGAACCCAGACTCGCTGACCGGTCAACGAGACCCTCGTAACTTTCAATCGACGACAAAAAATTATATTTCAATTCATAGCAACAAAGCTAAATAGAAAAAAGGGTGTCATACTACATCCCATATAAAATTTTCATTAAAAATATACATTTCATAATATTGAAAATAGATCAAATATAGTGATTGATATTGTTCATAAAATTATGTCTTGCTTAAATCATACTAAATATTCCAACTCGCTCGTTTGGAAGAAACACATTGTGACTGCTCAATCTCACACATGAAGTTCAAAGATGTATTTTGATCAACCAATTAGCATGTTCTACTTTCACGATTATGAGATCTCCCTTAAAGGGACACTTTGACCATTATCAAGATGGAAGCCATCAACCTAAACATTCAATAGTTAAACTCACACTATAATAAATAAACCTAAGTAGTTTCAAATGACTGTGACAATTAGATTAACAATCGTGAAAACTACACAATATGTATTCACTCTCCCATCTAAATGCATAAGTACATCTAGTAGAGTTAAATAGAAAAGAGTTTCAAATTGAAAAATGTTATTTAAGATTATTAGTAGCTCTAAAAATTTGATCTATAAGCTGAAAATTGATTATTTTTATTTATTTATACCATATTATTCATTCTCATTGTATCTGAATTATGAAATATGAAAGCTGGTAGTACCTAATCTTTGAAAAAGTTATATCAACATGAAATTGAGTAAAAACTGCTCCGGCTAGTCATTGAACCATGCCCAATTTGGAATCATACAACAATACATCCACTAGTCTATAACCGTAAGCCGACGCGTTAAGTAAGGATTCCGTAATACCTTCACACTTTACGTAACGCAAGGTTAGTATTCATTACGTAAAAGAAGCCTCAATTACGTAAGGCTTCCGTAATGACATTTTACAACTGTTACGTAAAATACACATCCATTACGTAAGGCTTCCGTAATGACAGTTGTTTCTTACGTAACAGTTAAATCAGAAGCGTTACGTAAGGCTTCCGTAATACCTTCACACTTTACGTAACGCAAGGTTAGTATTCATTACGTAAAATAAGCCTGAATTACGTAAAGCTTCCGTAATGCCATTTTACAACTGTTACGTAAAATACACATCCATTATGTAAGGCTTCCGTAATGACAGTTGTTTCTTACGTAACAGTTAAATTAGAAGCGTTACGTAAGGCTTCCGTAATACCTTCACACTTTACGTAACAGAAGGTTAATATTCATTGCGTAAAAGAAGCCTCAATTACGTAAGGCTTCTGTAATACCTTCACACTTTACGTAACAGAAGGTTAATATTCATTACGTAAAAGAAGTCTCAATTACGTAAGACTTCCGTAATACCTTTACACTTTACGTAACAGAAGGTTAATATTCATTACGTAAAAGAAGTCTCAATTACGTAAGGCTTCCGTAATACCTTCACACTTTACGTAACAGAAGGTTAATATTCATTACGGTAAAGAAGCCTCAATTACGTAAGGCTTCTGTAATGGCAGTTATTTCTTACGTAACAATTAAATTAGAAGCATTACGTAAGACTTCCGTAATGACTTATTACTTTACGTAACGCGAGATAAATATTCATTACCTAAAAGAACCCTCCATTACGTAAGGCTTCCGTAATGAGATTTTACAACTGTTACGGAAGATACACATACGTTACGTAATCATTACGTAACACCTGTTGGGTTTTACGTAATGTAACCTGTGAAACCTGCTATGGCAGGTAAAAAAAATCAAGTTACCTTACTTCAAGGCATTGTAGGAATTTCCTATGAGTTTTAGGGTTCTTTTGAAAGTTGTGATTGTTATAGTTATGCTTGTTGAATACATGTATTGTGCACAATATAATGTTTGGAAGTGCCAAAGTGTTAAACAATGCATGCATTGTTTTAGGTAGGTCCCATCAACAATCACAAAAAATGATGCATTATAAAATCTCAACTAAAAGGTGAGATTGTTGGTTTTAGATTTGTGTCAACTTTTTCTTTCCGTTTATATCCCCAATAGTTTTTGTCTTATTCTAAAAGTTGAGGATAAATGTGACATTTCCCCATAAAAATAACTTTATGTAAATCAATGCATAAAGTAGAATCTCAACAATCAAACGGTAAATGTGACATTTCCGTTTATATCTCCTACTCTCCCGCCAAAAAATGACTTTGTCGATGCAATTGTAGGAAAGGAGCTGAAATCGAATAGGAAAAGGAGGGATTTAGGGTTCGTGAGAGCTGGGAGCGAATAGATTGCCAGATTGGGGTAGAAGATGAGATTGAGTATTCAATTAAAGGGTGATGTCGTTTTAGCAAATCACTCTTTATTCATCTTCTTCCTGTCCGGATCCAAGTTTTAGAAATAGAAAGCCCACAGGGAATGCAATATTTAGAGAGGAATTAAAGTGGGCTTTTACCAATTATTGATTTAGTTATAATTAATTAAAAATATTAACAAGTGTGAACACAAGTGTACAGCGTACGGTCGTCGTACGCTAGCCTAAACTATATATATATATATGGTTCAGGCTAGCCTTAGTCTACCGTACGCCCGTTGAGTTTTGCTATTTAGACAATGAATTAACCGGAGTTTTTGGCATGATACTATACCCTAACCTCTAATGGATAAACCCTAGTCCCTAATTCACTAATCCAAAGCATAATATTCATTTAATCTTGAAATGAAAATCAACGGTCTTGATTTGTCAAAATTATTGTTGATTTAATTTTTAAGATTAAATGAATCTCATGAGTTGGGTTAGAAAATTAGGGACTGGGGTTTATCCATTAGAGGTTAGGGTATAGTATCATGCCAAAAACTCCGGTTAATTAATGATCTAAATAGTAAAACTCAACGGGCGTACGGTAGACTAAGGTACGCCCAGGCGTACGCTAGCCTTTGCCATATATATATATATATGGAGAGTTCTACGGTACCCAGGGTGAAATCCGGGGTACCACATACCTTGAGTAAGAAAACGCTATCCAGAACTTGAATTGACTGATCTTTCGGACATGATACTATACTCTAACCCTTAAAGATCAAAATCTAGGTCTTAATCTCTAAATCTTATACCCCAAGATCAATTTAATTGGACACAATAATCGACGGTTATGATTCATCCAAATATAGGCAAAAAATCAATGCACCATCTTACGGTTTATAGTTTATGATTTAGATAATTAGGACCTAGGGTTCACTCATTAAGGGTTATGGTATAGTATCATGCCCAAAAATCCTGCTAATTCGGGGTCTAGATAGCTTTTTTATACTCAAGGTATGCGGTACCCCGGATTTCACCCGGGGTACCGTAGAAGGCACCATATATATATATATATGCCTTCTACGGTACCTCAGGGTGAAATCCGGGGTACCGCATACCTTGAGTTTGAAAACACTATTTAGAACTCGAATTAGCAAAAAAATGGCATGATACTATACCCTAACTCGTAATGAGTGAACCCTAGATCCTAATTATCTAAATCATAAACTATAAACCCTAAGATGTTGCATTCATTTTTTTGCCTATATTTGGACGAAATAATGTCAAACATCACTTATGATGTGATGAACAATAATGCACATGAATATGCACAAAAACCATTGAAGATTTACTTTATTTGAAGGATTTAGAGTTTAGAGATTTAGGGTTAGGGTTTACAATTTAGGGTTCAAGGCTAGAACTCAAAATTGGAGGTCTAGGGCTTAGGATAATCCGCTAATTAGTTGTTATCATATGTTATATAAGCATATTACACTAATTCTACAAATTAAAATTCAAAATCCGACACCTTAAGACTAATTTTTGAGTTGAGTGCATTGAACGCACTCATTTTTGTGAGTGCACCGAAGTAGTCACCATATATATATATATATAGGCTAGAAAAGCTTAATACGCAACCAAAACCTACCCGAACGCCTTCTCCTATTCGGCTACTCCAACCCAAACTCAAACTCCTATTCGGCTACTCCAACCCAAACTCAAAGGAAAACTACAACGAAAAGGAAAAGACACCCGGCCCAAAAATACAAAAACCCCAAACCGAAAATAACCTCACCATTATCATCTTTAATCACCGTTTACCACGAGTTACTATATATCCTATACCATTGTGGTATAGGGTGTTATTTTTTGTACTGGAAATTTTTTTCAGAAATTTGTAGATTTAATATATCATATGATGAAATATTTCCTTCTGTGCAAATCTCTCCTTCTGAGCTCACTTAAAATTAAGGATTCATATCTAATTATGCATTTGTGCATAACTAAAAGTTATGCACCGTTTCAAATTCATTGATATGAATATAAATAAAATCCAAACTATTCTTAATAAAATAATTGATATGCACTTTACTGATTGCCATCTCTATGTTTGCCTACTCACTGGGCACCGTTCAAAAGCAATCTCATGCCAAGTACGCCAATGAGAATACAACCTGACCATTCCAATTCACTTACAAGACGGCCTGAAAAGAACTAAAAAACCAAGGAGTAAGAAAACACGGAATGACTTGAAGCCGTATAAGAAAGTTATGTTGACCATTTTGACTACAAGATTAAAATAGCAAGAAAAATAATGTAGAGTGGAATTCAATTATTTTGTTTGACAAAAGCTCAATCCTTATACTTCTGTGTTCTCACGGGAATTATAATCCCTTGATTTAGCTGGACAGCGATTCAATTAATTTGAATAGAATCGAATCGGACTGGTTCACTTTTCAATCTAATGAAATTATTACTATTTTGATTTGAATTTTTTTAATATGGTTGAATCCAAACAAAAACGGTAAATTTAACATAATAAATAGGTCGAAATGTAATTACATTGCTTATTTACTATATTACCATTGTATAAAATGGAACTAGACAAGTCAACTTGTGCGAGCTCTGAATCGTGAAACCAGTACACACACAATTACAGAACTTGACCTCTTATAAATTCGGTTTCATAGGAGACTTTTGTATTACCGCTCCTTACTCGAACCTTGCCCCTTAGCTCGTCTTGCCGCGACGATGGTCCATCATTAGGTTTGAGATCTTGCGTGGGGGAATGATTGAACTTCTCAAGTTGAGATTAACTATGCTTCATTTTTTTTTATATGTTAGTAGTTAGTATTCATGCATGCCTTTCCTTCTTACAAAATAATAATTCCGAGAATCTGGAAAAAAAACATAGTGTTCTGATTAGGATCGAATCAGTTCACGCTACAACTCATAATCGAATCGGGGAAGAATATTCCACCTTGATACTTCAATTTTGTGTAATTATGATTTGGTCCTAGAATAATTTAGTCCGATTTTGGACTCCATCGACCCATACCCAGCCCACGTTGACCAAACTTTGCTACTGTCAGAATCTCTCGTGACTTTTGTCACCCCCCAAAATTCTTCACTTCCACAACACTTTCATATGCTGATGGATCCACTATATTATCTTACCAAGTCCGCCATGTAAATTTCTCAATAAACTAACACCAAAAACAAAAATTTGATAGAGAATTCTGTTGAGGAAAAAGTTAAACAAATGAAACCGACTCTATTTGTACTCAGGTGGGAAAGATTGGAATTTTGGAATTGGAGTCGGTCTCCGCTCCATAACTTGTGTTGTAAGGTGGCAAACAATGGTCTCTATCTGCTGATGTGGCCAAGTGTCGACAGACCAAAAATACACAAAATCCACACAACATTGAGAAGCTTACCTTAAATCGACATCCCAAACCCAACGCGTTTATTTTCTGAACCAATTCCTAATTGAATTAGGCTGCTTCACCACCTCCTTACTCCTCCTTCCCCAACCATGAAGATACGCAAAGGAAAGGAAGCTGCCTCGAATCCTCACCATTTCTTCAGTTCCCACCACGCCTCTAACTAACTAACTACAGCGCCTCCTCCTCTATATACCCATTACTCACTCCATCATAATCGAATCCCAAGGTAAACCCATTTCCCGCAACAACACAGAGAAGCTTTTGACATCATCCAACGCCATGGTCACTGCTGCAACCTTGCCCTGGCTCCAGAGTCCAAACGTCCGGCTGCCGTCGGACCCGCCGGAGACTCTCGACATCCTGTCCTTCGAGGTAGCCAGCACAATGTCCCGACTCATTTCCCTCTACAGCTTCCTCTCCGAGAATGAATTCACCAGGCTTCGGAACGGGCCGTTGAGATCGAGAGGAGTCAGGTACTTGAATTCCGAAGACGAGTTCCACCTTCTAAGTCTAGCCTGCTGTGAGAAGCTCGACGAGCTCGATTCGGCGGCCTTCACCGTGTCTCGTCTAGGCCGGAGATGCTCCGACCCGGGTCTCAGATGCTTCAGTTACGATTACGAGGATTTGAAACAGGGGATTGTAGTGGCTCGAGACAGGGTCGAATTCTACTCGAAGCAAGGGAACGGGAGCAAGATTTTCCGCAAGATGGAGAAGTACGTCTCCGCAACGACACAGCTGCACGCGGGGTTGGAAAGTTTGGCGGAGATGGAAGCGTCCGAGCGCAAGTTTCAGATGCTGAAGCTGAAACTGGAGCCCTCCAAGTTCATCACGAACAACGGCTGCATTGACGGGCAGAGGATAGCGGCGCAGCGGAAACAGATCAAACGCTGCAGAGAAACTTCCCTTTGGAACGTGACGTTCGACAAGAGCGTTCGCCTAATGGCCGAAGCGATCCGAGTGATCTTCATCCGAATGTGTAAGCTCTTCGGACCCTTCGTCTCCTTCCTTCCATGTCTGGCGAGGAGCAGCAATTTGGGTATGAAATCGAAGCCGAAGAACGCCCAACTGTACGCGTCGGGCCCAATTCAGAAATCTTCAATACCATCAACTCCGCCCAGATTTTACAGTCAGGAACTTTCATCGAACACCTGGCGTGCAAACCCCAGGGAAGAAACCATACAGAGACTACCGATAACGCCGCCATCCACGGCGGGCGGGTCGGGCCTGGCTCTGCGACTCGCGGAGATAATCGTACTGGCGGAGAGATACTTGCACTTCACGACGAGCATAGACGACGAAGCGCGATC